AAGTCACAGAGAAAAAAGTACAGCATAGGGAATATGGTTATTAATATGGTTAATGTGGTACATTGTTTGGTGGCTACACTTACCATGATGGGCACTGAGTAACATAATCGTACACCTGAAAATATAACGCTGTATTTAACTGTACTTCAATAAAAAAAATTTACTTTAGTGATACTGTGATACTGTATTTTGCCTTCCAATAACACAGCATGTACCTTAATTTGCTTTTTTCCTTTTGTAGAGTATTATAGCTTGTCACATAGATCCAACACCTTTCTGATTAAGATTATTCCTATTTACTCTATGTATTCTATTGCTTATCTGAAAAGGCTTTTTTTTTTTTACTATATATTTTATTAGGTTAGTGTTGGTTTATAAGAAAGCTCATGGTTTTATTTGCTTACTTTGTAAGCAAAATTATCTGGTTTTGCTTTCTAAAATTATACTTTATAAATTCTCTTAAATTAAAATTGGTTTTGATTTCTTTTGGTATGCAGTGCTATGAATTTTAAGACATGTATAGATTCATGTAACCACCACTGCAACCAAGATACAGAACAGTTGCATAATGCCCCCAAACTCCTTCATTCTCTTTCTGAATTATCTTTTATTTCTATTATCTTTCTGTTAATTCTCTTAACCTTTCCAGGTTAACTCTGGTAATGTCTGTATACATTTACTTTTTGTTTTCAAGTGGGAAAATATTGATTGGGGTGCCTGGGTGGCTCAGTTGGTTAAGCATCCGACTCTTGGCTTCAGCTCAGGTCATGATCTCATGGTTCATGAATTCAAGCCCTGCATCAGGTTCCTTGCTAACAGCACGGGTCTTGCCTGGGATTCTCTCACTTGCTGTCTCTTAAAATAAATAAAAATTTAAAAAAAAGTTTAAAAATTGGGCAAATATTTAAAATTTAGTGAATTTTTTCAACTGCTCTTATGTTAGTTGGCTTTTTAAAAAATTTCCTTTCTTTACAGAAATTGTAAAAATATTCAAAACAAAGTTGTTTATTATTTCAAAGTCTGTAAGAAATGTGGTCATCTAGGGAAGATTTCCTTGGACTCTACTGCTAGCCTTCTGGGGAATGTAGGATAGGTAGTATAGCTATGAGGAGTTCAAATTACTGAGGTATTTGAGGAGAAAGTTGTGTTTGAAGAGCAATCCACACATGAATGATTTAAGTAAATATGGCAACATCCTCAGTTATTGTTTCAGGTTGAGAATCTACATCTGGTATTTTCCTGAATTATGTGTGACGGACATTTCAAAAAATAATGTTATTTAGAATCACCTCCACTAGTTATTCTATATTTTATTCACTACTTTCTCTATGCTAGGTATTGTGCTAAATGCTTTACATTTGTGTAATTTAATTCATACACCATTTTTCTAGGTTACTTGCAAAGTACCTGTCTTAACTTCTTGTTATTACTTTGGGCTTTCCAACTTCTCCTTCCCCAGATTTCACCTATTGGTGATGGCAGATATCATTATACCTACTAGCCTGCAATAATTTTTAGTGTCCTGTCAAAAACTTTAATGCAGATTATACCTTTATATGATTCTTCCAGTAAGCAATATATATATATAATTGCTTACTGGAAGAATCATA